CTGAATACGAAAAACCACTTTTCAGCAACTCTAAATCAACTTTATTTTTTTTGTTCCGGTGATATGATTTCATTCAATACGTATATCCTTAGACGTATTTATTGTCGACAAATGTAGTTGTTGTTTATTCGTTCTTTGCTTGGATAAAGTTTCTTCCACCCGACTCCAATACGCACTTTGAGGAGTGCGGTTCGGTTTTCGATATCGCTAAAAAATAATACAAAACATCATAGTAGAAAATGAGCTTCTATCACAATTGTATGACAAAAAAGCATACCGTATATGCAGCATACGGCGTAGGATAAATCAGTTTTGGAAGAATTAATTTTCTATCCCACTGCGGTTTTGATGTCAAGACACGATACATTTGAATGTGAGACTTGTTGTCGTCAGAAGATTGTTTATCAAACTGATCACTCCATACTTGAATAAAGTGGAAAAATATTTTAAAAAAAACATCATTTTCAACTGTCATTTATACGTACAAGTTCGTAGATTTGACGATAAAAATTGAATGTTAAATGGATCATGTTCGTAATTTGTTTCAAATTCCGACAACCCTAGTTCTTCAATTTTTGGATACTAAAAAGAATTTTTGGTGCACTCTTTAGTTCTATGTTTATGGACCATTCAACTCACTCCTCTAAAGTCATGTGGTTTTGCATCTTGAAATTTTCCTGTGTGTGTTATATTTTTAATTGGTTCTCGATCTATACGAGGTCTCGTTATAAATTTTTTAATTTTCTCGTTATTAGACGGTTGTGTTAAATATCGTGAGAAATATTTCATTACGGCTGCATCATCTCTGCTCTTTTTATTATTTTTGTCTAACAATGAGGGCTGTTGCTCAATAAAATTTGTTAACTCATGTCTTCGATGAGGTTTGGGATGAAAATTTTTCACAGAAAAATCAATTGGTTTTAATTTCCATGGATCATTATTGATGTTAGCATTTGGTTTTTTAATTATTGAACTTCTTACATAAAGTCGTTTATTTTCAGCTTCAAATCGTTGTTGTTCATTAAAACGAGATGTGATCGTATGTGATTGATCGTCAATTTCTGCTGCCATTCTGTATGGCTTAGAATTTTCTTTTTCTTGATTTAACTATAGTGATATACTGACGTTTAGCAACAATTTCCTGTTCAAACACGTTTAACATGGTGACAATTTATCGAATTGTAATAAATATGTTATTTGAAAGTTTTTTTCTTTTTAAAAATAAGTTGAATAAGAAAAACAATTCTTGTTTTTATTAAAATAAATAGAAGAAAAGAAAATATGCCAATTTCTCAAAATCATCTTATTAAAGGACACCTGCAGTTGAGAATAGTTTCGACTAAAGAACCCTGAATAGTGAAAGCTGCTCCAATGTTTATACCATATACCCTTGTATCAATGCTTATCTTGGTTGTCGGACTAGCTCTACAGTGGAGATAATATGCGAGCCTATACGTTGACACAGCTCAATTATTGCATTTTCACCTGAATTTTCTGATTGAAGATCGATTCTGGTAAACTTTAAACTGATTTTTGGCTTTTCGACTTATGAAATGCAAAAAAGATATAAAAGAAAAAGTATCAAAACCCTATTCTATCAATTTGTTGGTTTAATATTTTCATACGCCAAGACCGATGAAATAAGGCTTCCACTTAAAAAAATATTATTGAATTTACGTTGGGAAGCAGTATGAGGTGTCAGATCACTAAGAAGCAGTTTCACGAAGGGCACGGCGATCTCTTTAAATTAGTACATAACTGATTCTGATAGCCTTCTTCTACAGCGGATTCAGCGCAGCATGGTATAGTGGCCACTTTCGACTAGAGTAGGCGGACATATGGTATAAAACGGTTATAAACTGCTGGATAGCTATTAAAAGTCGGTTTTCTACGGAGATTTCTGAAAAACTCGGTTTCCTAGAACACCTAGTGACCTTAAAATTCTTTCCGAAGTTTTTCAACCATATCATTGGATAGCTCCTTCAATTCTTCACAAAAGGAGATGCTGGCCACATTTCTAGGATGTTGTGCCAAAATGCCATAGAAAATACGATACAGGTAGAAACTTCGGCATTAAAGCGAATGGGTTTATATTCATAATGTTAAACAGCCTGTAACTCGGTCGTCCGAGGTCGTCGAAACGTTGTCAACATCTCATTTTACGGAGAATTGAAGGAGCTATCCAATGATATGGTTGGAAAACTTCGGAAAGAAATTTTAAGGTCAGTAGGTATTCTGGAAAACCGAGTTTTTCAGAAATCTCTGTCTCAAGACTTAGAGACCTAGCATAACGTTTCTACATTGAAATATATAGAACTTGACGCGCTCTTTCATTTGAGCCCAACTTCAGGGTTCTACGTTAGGGAATGTGGTCAGCAGGCTTTCTACAATTCAAGCCAAATCCGCCAGAAAATGCATTTTTTTCGCTGCGAGGGTAAAATGGCTATAATTTTTTTACTAACAAGGCTACAGACTTGCGGTTTTCAACATTCGGTTCAGCTTGCTGAGCTCTATAATATGAGACAGGTTTCGTCACTGATATCAAAGGTCTATGTAAATGGTAGTAGGTTTTATATCGATCGACCCTATCCGTCGATGCTGAAAACATCACTCTGAAGTAGTAATAGCCGAAAAAATGAGCGTTCGCAGTTTTAACTAGAAATGAATTATCAGCTATTTTGTAGAGTTTTAAAAAAGCTTTCTTTTGATATATAATGTAGACCGCAACCTAAGTTCTTTCATGGTAAAAACACAGAAGGATTATCCGTCCGTATGCTTGAAAACATCACTCTTTAGTAGTAATATCCAAAAAAAAATGAGTGTTCGCATTTCCAACTAGAAATGGGTTACTCACCATTTTGTAGAGTTTCGAAAGAGCTTTCTTTCGATATATAATGTAGACCGCAACCTAGGTTCTTTCATAGTGCAAAAGTTGAAATACTATCGTTGGCTATGCTGAAAAGGTCATTCTTACCAGTAATATGGCAAAAACGTGGGTGTTGGCGGTGTACATAACAATTAAGCAATAGACAGTTTTGTTCGCCGTTTAAAGCTACATCGAATGGTATACAGGAGTTTCCTTCCAACTTGTTGTGTTCTGAGAAAATTACGAAAAACGCCTCGGAATGGGCTCGTGGAGTTATTGTTCAAAGTTGATCGATTTTCTGACAGATATGAGGGACAAAGCGGAACCAAGGGTGTAGAACCCCATAAAATTGTATGTTCTTTCATTCTAGATACCTTTCGAGAATATCTGAAATGGGACCGATCCTCGTTCATATTGCACCCCGTCCTTTTTTCTGATTTTTTGTTCGAAACCGAATTTTTCTGTTAAAAAAATAGGCTTCTGGATCTCAGAAAACCATTTCTGAACACAAAAAAAAGGCTATTTTGAAAAAAGACTTTTTTATCAAAAATCTCCATGGAATCCTTACCTAGTTTTTTCTAGTAATTTCTTTGTTTAAAAGCCTTCAATACTGTGCAGCATTCGATCCAGCTTCGCACTGATTCCGAATATGTCCTAATTTTTTCTTGGGAAAAATGATCCGACAAAGACTACTTGAGGCCGACCCGACCAGTATTAAAAATTTTATGATCCGACCAAGGGCAAAAAGTGGAGGTCCGAGTCCGTTTTTAGTTGTTTACACTCTCTAACGCTAATAGGCTTGATTGACAAAATGCTATAAATGTGCTTCTAACACAACTCCATCATTTAAGTTTCCATGTTTTTTTCCAATTTTTGTATGCACTACACTCTAAAAAAAAATGCAACTTAGGGTCAAATTATTAATGTGCCTTATTCTGTGTAAATAAGGCACATTAATAATTTGATCCTAAGTCGCATTTTTTTTAGAGTGTAGATAACCTGTTTAGTCAGCTACATATTAGAAAAAGAAATATTATAATATTCATCACGAACATGGATATACTAAATATAATGGTTTTATTGATATATTTAACCGTATGCTCTCGGAAAGCAAGGGAAGTCCTCAGCCCGGCCCGACAAACAAAACTTGGGATCCGAGCCCGGCCCGGACCACCCGACCTTAAAAGTTAAATTTTTTTTTATTTGAAAGAGCAAAGTCTGGAGAACAAAAGAGGCCAAAAAAGTTTAAACTTGAGATTCGGTTTACTGCGATAAAATCAGGAACACTGGAAATATCTTTGTAACTTGATTTTTCAATACTTTTCGCCGCTCGTTTTGCTGTGTTGCGTGTCTTGAAGTTTGAACTAAGCATAGCCACAAATAGATCTTTGTAAACTGTCAGCTGGCGTATTTAAAGCCTATTGTTCATCCCAAAAAAGAATCATATGGATGTTTTTTGAATAGTTCTAAAACGGAAAGAGCTGGAGGGGCGCGGCTTCCATCAATCGAAAGAGGAGCTTATGCAACACCTTTTTGCATAAGCTTTTCAAAAACGGATTTTTGAACGGATCTTTGGAAAACTTCTGCATGAGTTGAAAATTTAAAATAGCAAACTATTGATATCTTTTCATCAGTAAATGTGTTTTCATCAGAAAAGTGTTTTCTTCAAATGATGAGATGTAAGCGAGATCTTAAAAACCAGTGGTTTGGTCGGAATCCAGGTTTTTCCCGAAGTCCCAGCACTCCAACTTCTTTGGGTTTGGGGGTCTCAGAAACACACGAACTCCAAGCTATCGATCGTCCTGAATCTCGGCAATATTTGTTTTATTCCCATAGTTGAAGGGAGTTCAAAGGATGAGATTTTCAAAAAATGAAGTGTTGGCTCTTGAACTCTCCTGCAGTAAAAATACTACAACTTGGCTGTTTTCAATCCAACATGCTTCAAACTATAAGAAAAAACTTGAGACGATGTGTCCTTGATATCTCGATGTGAACATCAGTAGATATTTAGATTTTCATAGTAGATTTATATAAAGCTGCTGTGAAAATCTTATTTTTACTTCATTTATTACCCATCAATAACTCAGATATTTCAGTCATCTCTTGAATATTTTCTCTCTCGTAGTTAAAAAAGAATTTTCGAGTTTTTTCTCTTGCGATTATCCATGGAATATCTGACAGTCATTTATCCGTATTTTGCCCACACACAACCCTATAAAAAAAATTCTAGTGCGGCACTGGTAAAAATCGGTGTGGCACTGTCAGTATGCATTAATTAAAGTATAGCACTGATACGTACCAGTACTGCACTGGCATGCGATAATCGTGCGGTACTGCCTCAGCTCCAAGACAAAAGATACTCTAGATATATTCAGTTATATAGGATATATCACATTTTGTTTGAGAAAAATGATGTATCACGATGTATCTATTTCTAACCAGAAAAAAGAGATATCATGATGTATCATTGATTTTGAATAACACGCAGCGATGTGTCATACTGTATCTATCATACATTGTATCCTAAAATAAAAAAATATCCTTTTCTATCATTATCTTTAAAAAGTTTCGACTGGGTGTTATATGTTGGGTTGATCGTAGTGGTTGATCATTCAAAAGATCATGATGATATCGATTCACATACAATAGCTACGATAGCTTTGGAATGTTATGTAAACAGAGCCGCAAGTCGGAGCTAGTTCACAGCGGACATTGAACGATGTGTCATTCCTATGTATTGAGCGGATACGCTTGTAAAGTTTCAGAAATGAAAAACACGGCTTGCTGTTCTGGTAAAGTGAACAAAAATAATAATTAGGGCTCATTCTTAGTTGCCTTTGAATTGTTGAACTACATTTAGATTGGATATAAATGTTGATAACAACTTTAATACATCGTCACAATATCATTTATATTCATTGTTGTTTTGTGCTTAGATGAACTAAAGAAAAGGCATCACTACGCGAAAGAAAAGGGTAAACATAGTTTACCGCGAAGTATGAGAGGAGATTTTCACCAGGTTGTTATCGGGTGAATGTCTTGCTGTAATATACGAATGATTCCATAAGTCAAAAATACAAGAGTATGTATCAGAGGATAAAACAGGCCATTAGGCCTGCCTGCCTGCCTGTGTCTGCCTGCCTGGGACAGGCACAGGCCGCAATTTTCAAACCTGGCACAGACCAGGCAGGCTCAGCAAAATACA